TTGTCGCATTGTAGTCATCAATTACAACTGGCTCACGTGATCTCTTCCTTAATATGAATAGTAGATAGCAATATCGCCGATTGCAACAACTTTTTATTTTTATTTTATTTACTTATTGACAAAGCAGACTTTGATTTAATCTGTAAGACAGCTGGTGGTATATCACGTTTATTTTTTCGTAAAGTTCCAATACAAGTCAGTCGATATTTCTTCAGTGCCTGGTCTGCAAGAGGCAACGAGGTGAACCAATTATTAAAAGTTATGTTTCGTCCAGAACCTTTGACGCTATCAGCTAACTTTGTGACGTAGTCTGCCACCGTCTTCGCCTCGGTTACTTTGCCTATGTAAGGAATTGCGTCAAACTTAATATGTTTTAGCATCACTTATGGCCACAATTTTCATATCATATTTTTCCGGTTTCGAAGATATATAATCACGAAAGGGACATTTTCCTCGAAAACTAAACAGTTGCTCATCAATCGTAACGTAACAGCGTGATTGGTACGCTTTTGTGCAACTAATTATAAAAATTTTCCCTGCTTCCCAAATAGGTGCAATTTTATCTTCTTTATCACGGTTGTCCTTATCATCAAATCTTAGGCAAAGTAGCAGAAAATGAAATCAACTCACAGACATTATTGACTTGTACACAGGGGTACTCGTAGGCGCCCACATTTCACTTGCACTTTTTTACTATCTTTGTTTACCGCGGCATAAAATACTAGCCCTACGAGTGCCTCGACATCTGTTTTGTCTGTTTTATGAGTAAAACGTTGGTCTTTGTATTTGGGAGAACGTCTGCCAATTTCTTGGCACAATTTCTATATCGAGAAGTTTAGAGAACAAAATTATAAATGCATCTTTATCTGTTTCAATATTAGAATGGACTTGCGAAGGTCTTTGGATGTTTACTATATTACGCTGAGGTGTTCTGCTTGATGATGGCGCAGAAGCAGAATATACATGTCTATTCTTACCTCTCAAAACATTCCCTCAAAGCTGTGACAAAGGCACATCATCTTTGTCTGAGCCGGAAACGACGTCGTCTTGTTCGGAATGCACGGAGACGTTATCTTCATTTTTATAAGCCTCCTACGACGTCTCCAACGGCTTTTTTTCACTCTCATCATCCTCAGCCATATCGTTTAAGTACCGCTCATACTATTCATCATTACGAAACGCCATAATGAACTGAAAATAACATATAAAATACAGTAACAAAAGAAAATACCTACGTAAACAGTAACAGGGGTGACGCAACACCCCACAGATACCTGCAGAACGCAATTGACGTGTTGCCGCTCCCACCGTGCAACGGCTACTGATGACTCACGGTAAAGGCGATATTTATTTGATTTGTGCGATTGATACATTTCATACACACAACAAATTCACTTTGAAAGTAGGTATTAACTGTGGTGAATTTCGGTAACATCCATCCTAAGAAATAATACGCTTTTATAACGGGGTCGTTAAGATATGCGTAAATTTTATGGCACTCTGCGTCCGTGAGTCATTTTCCATCGAAGTACAGGCGCAATGCATTCCACTGCTCCAATATTCTATCAACGATAGCATTTAGCGAAATCCAACGTGTATGCGCAGGTCGTAAAATACAATGAACTTCTACTTCAGCAAAGTGTTGAAATTCCACAAACACACTTAGTCTCTTGTTACTTGGTTTCAAATTAATTGTATATATTTCAGCCAACTTTTCACAGTTGTAAGGAAGTTTTTAGAGGCATCGTTAGCACAAAGATGCAAAGAGTGGCAAACACATTATAGTACGGTGATACTTGGACAGAGTTGCCTAAATCGGCTACAGACGGAATTATGGTAGCTCATCATGGTATTTGCCCCATCAGAAACAAAACCGATTATGTTGTACAAAGAAATCGAATACTTTTGGAAAGATCCTTTCAATATTTCCATCCTATATCCTAAAAAACTCCAAAAACGGCTGATGATTTGGTTTAAGTTCGAATCAAAGTACCTCACTACAACGGCAACAGTTTTGGTAAAACTGATATCTGTGCTTTCATCAATTATTGAAAACTTTCGAACTTTTAAATCATTTATTAAACTGTGTTTTTCGGATGCTCCAATACAATTATTTATTTTAACTTAAGCTTGAACTTTTGTTATTTTTAGTTTTATGTTTTTAGCAATTTTCGAATCGGGCCGCATAAGAGGCAATAAATAAATACTCCATAGTTCTTGATGATATTCCATGTTCTGCAACGAAAGCTGCCAGTTTCGTAGTAGACATTTTGGTCTGCTCCTTTTCTGTAAATGTACTATATGAACTATTAGTTTGAAATGCACTTACGATTCTTTGCTGTCTTTTTTTAGCTTGAACAGCTAAACTTTTTAGCATTATTGCTATGCGAATTTGTCTCTTTGTGCCTGTACGCTGATTTCAGCTGACAATCTCTGTTATTACACATATTACATGTAGGAACATATTCGTTTTTGCTGTCCTTTCTGAGCCAATCGCGAAACTCTGGTTTAATAGCCATTCCTCTAGAAACTTACGATTATGTTTACACTGCTTTCTTTTTTTAATTAGGAACTTTCACTTCGGAGTCAGGCTGAGCATCAGTATCACTGCCACTCATTATTAAGTGCAAAACAAAAATAATTGTTAGTCAAATAAAGAAACTTTAAAGATTTTAAGTTTGAAACTTTACGAAAAATGAAATAAACATAAATGTAATGTAACATAATGAAACGATCGTAACATTTCTCGAAATTAATATCCATAAACGACAACTCAATTTGTTAGCTTTATAGAGGCCAGTTTCTCTCGAAACAAGGGGAATCACCGCACATCAAACTCATTCATAGGAATTAGGGTGCGTTCATAGTACATGTTCGGGATTATCGCACTTTGAACTCATTCATTACTTCCGGTGCGTTCCTATTTTATTACATGTTATTTATTTTGATTACCTAAGTAATTTTTTTACTACTGAACAGAAATCTTAACCCTTAGACCTGATTACGGTAGATTTTGTCACCGTTGTGATGCATCGACGGTAGGTGGTAAATTTTTGCTGAGAACGTTGTACCTACCGTAATTACGGTAGACATGGCAACACTGCTATCGGCCGAGTCGGCCGATGAAATAATAGGCGAGTGTGCGGGCGGGGAACAGCGCCATACTGATCAAGCGGTCAGCCGATAGTTCGCCGATAGTTTAGTTTGAAGCAATTGTGATGCCCATCCAACTTTTTTATCGTCCGATACTGAGTTGCTGTAATGTGCGCATTTGCATACTTCTTCATCATGATTAAGAAACCGACCAAACTATCGGCCGATAGAAAGTCTGTAGTCTGCGGGGACTCTATGGCGATATTACACGGATCAATTTCGGTTCAATACTGCTTTCTGAATTTGGATCTTCTTCTGCCAAATCTACTAATAAGGTGCTTGACGCTCCGTTAGTTATTCTTTTCTAAATCCACGGGCGCACCCAAGATTTTCTTTTTTTTGTTTAACTCATTTATTAAATGGTCGCAGATTAAGGAAATTCCCGCTCGTACGAGTTGGCGCGACATCGTATTGCGCTGTGAACGTTGAATGTCATTTAAATGATTTACGTGTACATTGGTAAAGTCCTTCATTGTGCAATATTCAATACTTTTCAATGGAATTGTTTTAATTTGGTTGATTCGTGTAATATCGCCTTTTGATAAAAAATAAACAAAATGCCAGAGCGAGACAGCAAATAATTTTCAATAAATCGGCGCGTGATTGGCTGCGTGGGGTGTTGGGGCACCCTTGTTACCATCCTAGGGTTTTAATACATAAAGTTATATATGACGTGATAAGACTCAAAGCTGAACGCCTATCCGTAGCTTAAAGATATAGGTACGTAATTTTGTGTAGCTGCCGCTTATTCTGTCTTAGTTTACTTAAAATATTTGTAGGGACTTAAAACACTAGCCTCGTTCACGGAAAATGCGTGCTCGCTACGACGCGACTTTTAGATTCCCCGTTCATGTACATCACACACCAGAAGGTAAGTGGATGCTGTGGCCCATAGACATCTATATTTATCTTCGATTAAAAATCAAAATGCAAATGCGTTGTACCCGAAGGGTCTCCGATTCTCTACACTCATCATACGAAATACAGCAACATTAAGCTGCTATTTTCCGCTGATATTTTGTGACCACGGTCGAGCTGACCCATTCGTGCTAGTAGAAGCTAAAGGCCGATTTACATTATCTTAGTGTTTAGGAGAGTATTTTAGTACAACTTGAAAGGCAAGTTCTTTAGTGCTTTAGTGTGTTGCGAGTGAACGTTTACATTTTTTCCAGTAGAGTATCATTACAGCGCCACAATGAACGCGCAACGAAGTCGGCAAATACGCTCTATTCTACGCAAAATACTAACTGTAGTTATGGAACAAATAGAAGACGAGATTTTATTCGAAATAAATAAACCGAAATGAATGTGGGAGCGTCAATGGATTAGTCGCAGATCCATGCTTGGAGGAAGTTCTTTCTTGCTAAAAGAACTGGCTATTGAAGATCTTAAAGAATATCGCGATTCGATGAGAATGACAGAAGAATCCTTCAATTGGTTTCTAAACAAAGTAAGGCCTGCTATAGAAAAAAAATGATACTCACATGAGGAGTGCAATACCGGCCAAAATAAAACTCCAATCAATTATTTATATGCTAGCAACAGGAAATAATTTGAGGAGCCTTTCTCATTTTTTTCAGAATATCTAAATCTAGCCTTTCGTTAATGATTCCCGTAATTTGTGATGCCATCTACAATGCTTTGGAGGAATTTATACAGGTGAGCAAATAAAACATCGTGTAGTTATATTAAATCACATAACTTTAATATTTGAAACTGGGTAATTTTGTCACATAACTTTATAAAACTTTAATAATAAATCACATAACTTTAATACTTTGAAACAATGAAATATTCCTATGTAGACGTTGAACAAAATTACATTGATTAGTAATTTTGTTCGATGTCTACATAGGAATATTTGCCATAGCCTGTGATAAGATATCATTATTTTGTTGAGCTGCAGTTTGTTGGTCACTTAGATCAAGCAAATCACCCCTATCAAGATTTATTGCAGCGTCGTGGCTGAAATGTGCTGTATGAGATGAAATATTAGGAGTATATGTCACAATAAACTCAGAGTGAGGTATTTCAGACATAGATGATTGTCCACTATCTGTAGGAGCTTCTTGAGTAGACGTATGCTCATAAGTGGTTTGTGTAGGCACATAACTCGGAGATGGTGTACGCACATAACTCGGAGATGGTGTAGGCACATAACTCGGAGATGGTGCAAGAACAACAAAAGTGCGATTGCAGGTTTTTAATTCCTGCAATCGCACTTTTGTAAGATAGGTTTCTATCACGCTTTGCGCCCGCAAAGCATTTTCTAAACTCATGGAATTTAGTTGGACGCCAACACTCTTGCCAAACAATTCGAATTCGTTTGTGCCTTCTTTTTCGATCATTGATTCTGTGTTGAGCTCGCTTATCACTACTCTTGCTTTGTCGAGAAGTGAATTCAGACCTCTCATATTTCTTTTTCTTGAAGGGCGGGTTAGATCAGAAACTGGCCTATCATCAATACTAACAAGCTCAGAATTTCGAGCATCTTGATTCTCCTCCATGTCTTCTTTATCCTCAATGGTATTCTGAAATAAAAATAATAGACTTAAGTCAGTGAAATATTTTCGGCAGCTAGTTAAAATAATACAAATATTCTTTTTTTCTTTCAGGTACCAAGAAACTGAAGAGTGGGAGGCAATTGCAAATGGCTTTAGAAAATCTTGGAACTTTCCTGGGTGTTGTGGAGCAATTGACGGCAAGCACGTCGTCATTAAAGCTCCATTTGAAGCAGGAAGATATTTCTATAATTACAAGCAACAGAATAGCCTTGCATTAATGGCTTTCGTAGATGACAACTATTGTTTTTCATATATCGATATCGGGTGCAATGGTAGAATATCCGATGGAGGAGTTTTCCGAAACTGCAACTTAAGTGATGTTTTGGAAAATGGCTTTCTATCAGAACATCATGTTATAGTCGGAGATGCTGCCTTCCCTCTGAAGCCTTATTTGATGAAGCCATTCGGAGGACAAAATTTAACACAAAGAGAAAAAAAAATAATTACCGGTTGTCTCGTGCTAGACATATTGTTGAAAACGCTTTCGGGATATTAGTTAGTAGATTTCAAATATTCGGAAAACCACTGCCTTATTGCCCAAACACTGTTGATAAAATTGTAAAAGCTTGTTGTGCTTTACACAGTTACCTTCAGAGGGACTTGTGCCAATACCCAGATACATGTACAAACATTCGTCGCAAAACGCACGTCAGATCAGAGAAAAGTTTAAGACTATTTTATGGGCGAAGGATCTGTCTCCTGGCAGGCACGAATGATACATTAAATTTTATGTAAGAAAAAAATCATGCCATATTACTCTGCGTCTTTCTATTTTCTAAGTTTACGCTTCGTAACACATCGTGTAGTATGTCGAACCATTTTACACTCGGCTTGTATATTACCTGTCCGGTAGTTGTGGTATGGTATACGGGTATGCGACCCCGGCTACCCTAGCTATTACTGTCCTATCCCTTGCCCTCATGGACGGTAATATCCTACATTTCCTATTTCCTATCCTAACTTACCTTACTCTTCCTTTTCACACCACCTATCCTTCCCGTTTCCCTATTCCTACCCTCCGCCAATCCAACGTCGGCCGCGCGGATGGATGCATGGCTAGGGGCGAGCCTAGTCGTTACCGTGCCACACTGCTCTGGGACCGGGCGACCCCAGAATTAAGCTAGCCTTACCCTGGCATGCGGGGCTCTGCTGGGGGGGGACAAACCTTTCCTTCGCTATTCGTGGAAACGCAATGGATAATCAAAAAATTTACAAAAAATAGCGGCGATGTGGTTCGCCACCCATCACGTCTCGTCTCGTCTCGCGGGGGCGAAAAGCGGCCCACGGAGAGCCGCTTCGCTACGTTGAATGTAAGAGGAGGGATGGATGGTAAGGTAGATGGAGTATGTCAGATGATGGATGAACGTTGCATTGATATTCTGTGCGTGAACGAAACCAAGAGGAAAGGATGTGACACCACGGTTCATGGCCCCTACACGGCATACAGGTCGGGAGTCCCCCAAACCAGCCGAGGCTGTCAGGGAGTTGGTGTGATTCTTTCATCTCGAATGGTTGAATGTGTGATGGAGCATGAATGTGTAAGCCCAAGACTCCTCTGGATTAGGTTAAAAGTCGGACTCACCCGCTTGTTTATCCTTGGGGTCTGTGCACCGACGGATCTGCGTGGAGGTGGGTCACTAAAATCACAACAAGAGAGAGAGGAATTTTGGGATAGCATGAGAGAGGTCTTGAATAAATGCGGAGAGAATGAACGGATCGTGATGTTAGGGGACTTTAATGGATGGGTTGGAGTAAAGCGTGATGGGTATGAAGGAGTTCTGGGTATGTTTGGGGACGAGAGAGTGAATGACAATGGGAGAAGCCTGCTTGAAGTATGCTTGGAATGGAATCTGTGCGTGACCAACACAATGTTTGACCACAAAAAGATCCATCTGTATACAAGAGATGAGGGTGAGTCTAGAAGTATGATTGATTTTGTAATTGTGGATGAAAGACTGAAGAAGAAAGTGCTAGACACTCGGGCATACCGCGGTGTAGGCCTCGACACAGACCACTTCCTGGTCATAGCCCGAATGCATGGCCTCTTTAAACGACACTTATGGCGACACCGAGGGGCCGAGCCTACGAGTGTTTTGGACAGAGTAAAAGTGGAAAATCTACGAGAAAAAGAAAAGAAAGACGAATATGTAGAGAAACTGAAAGAAAGTTTTAAAGGGATAGAAGAGATAGGAGTGATTGAAGATTTGTGGGAGACATTTAAGAAAGGGGTTGTAAATGTTGCGATTGAGGTATGCGGGGTAGCTAAAAGAAGGAAAGGGAGAAAGAATGATAACGTGTGGATGGATAAAGAGGTACAAAGGGTTGTGCGAGAAAAGAAGAAAGCGTGGTTGGATTGGTTAGTGAAGTATAAAAGATTGAAAACAGCAGCGAAAGAAACTGTATCTAGAAAGAAAGAAGAACGAAAAGATGATTTCGATAGGAGGCTCACTGAAGATTTCCAGTCAAACATTAAGTTTTTCTGGAAAACCATCAAAACAGCCAGAGGAAAAACTTTTACCTCGGAGCTGAGTACAATCAGGAGTCAAGATGGGAGCATTATAAAAGGAGAAGAATGTGTGTTAAAGAGATGGAAGGAGTATTTTGAAAGTTTGTTTGAAAGAGAGGAAGTGCAGGTACAGCATCTGCCACCTTCCACGGAAACGAATATAAATGTTGATGAAAATGAGATAAGCATGGATGAAATAGTGAAAGCGTTGAAAAGTATGAGATTAGGTAAGGCTGCAGGGTATGACAGGATTACCGTCGAGATGCTGAGGGCTGGACAGGGCCTGGTGGCTAGTCAGCTGTACCGTCTTTTCAATCTGTGCTGGCGAAATGGGCAAGTGCCGGGAGACTGGTGCAAAGCCGTAATCGTGCCATTGTATAAGGGAAAAGGGTCACGGCAGGACTGCATAAATTACCGTGGTATAAGCCTTCTTAGCGTCGTCGGTAAATTGTATGCGAAAGTGTTGATTGAAAGGGTTGTGAATGAAACAGACGAGAAAATATGGGATGCACAAGCGGGATTTAGAAAGGGAATGGGATGTACGGATCAGGTCTTTTACTTGCGGTGCATAGCCGAAAAGTGTTTGGCTAAAAACAAGAAAGTCTACTGCGCCTTCGTAGATCTAGAAAAGGCCTATGATAGAGTGGTGAGGAATGAATTGTGGTCAGCACTGTCCGTGAACGGTGTGAGCAGTGTCCTCATACGAGCATTGCAATCTCTTTATAGGGATTCTAGTGCTTGTGTAAGGATAAACGGGCATACACTGAATGGTTTAATATCGAAAAAGGTGTAAGACAGGGATGTGTAGCGTCACCGTGGCTGTTTAATCTGTTCATGGACAATTATTTGACAGATTTAAAAGAGAATGAAAGTGGGTTGAGAATGAATGAGTTACTCGTCAAATGTTTTCTCTATGCTGATGACCAAGTATTACTTGCGTCTTCAGCCGAGGAGTTGTAGGAGATGGTAACTGCTATGAGTGGAGCTTTTGTTAGAAAGGGAATGAAGATGAATGTAAAGAAGACGAAAGTGATGGTGTTTGAAAAAGATGAGGCAGTGACAGACTGCAATATCGTCATTGAAGATGAACAAATTGAACAGGTGAAAGAGTTTGTGTATCTGGGGTCAAAGTTTACAAGAGATGGAAAGTGTGAGAGTGATATCGAAAGAAGAGTGAATGCAGGAAACATGGTGAATGGAGCTTTGCACTCCTTTATGAGCAGTCGGAAAGTGTCTAACAAGGCTCGTTTGGCTGTGCATGAGGGGGGTGTTGGTCCCGACACTCATGTAGGGAAGTGAGAGTTGGGTATGGCAGAAGAAACATGAAAGTAGAATAAATGCAGTTGAGATGAGAGCATTAAGAAGTATGATAGGAGTTAAACTGAGTGACAGGATAAGAAATAGTGAGATAAGGAAACGTTGTGGTCTGAAAGAAGATGTAGTGACAAAAATTGAGAAAGGTATGCTGAGATGGTTTGGCTACATCGAGAGAATGAATGAAGAATGATTGACGAAAAAAGTGTATAAGGCGAGTGTGAATGGAAGTGCTGGAAGGGGTAGACCTAGGCGGACTTTTCTAGACCAAATTAGGGACGTCTTGAAAAAAGGCCAGGTTAAGAGTACCCTAAACCGTAGAGCATGTATGAAGGGAATAATGAAAGTAGACGAAGCGGAAAGAAGTGGTCTCTGCCTACCCCTACGGGAAAGAGGCGTGATTATATGTATGTATGTATGTATATGGAATCTGCTCCAGCTCCAGATTTCATTGAATCGTTAATTTTCTTTACCTCTTGTGAATAAGTTGATCTTATGTTTTTAATCTGAAATACAAAACAAACTGTTAATAGAAAAAATGTTGTTATTATTAAACTTCAACAACCCCCCCCCCCCCCCACTCCCCCACACACACACCCACATGCACATACATTTACCATCAGCGGGATCAGTGAACCAATTAATAAATAGGTAGAAACTACTATACTAGAAAAGTTACAAAAATTACATTGATTTGATAAATCACATAATTAATTAATTACATTAATTACTCACTTTTGTGACAACCGCGTTAACGTCGAGGCCAGGAATACCCATAGCTTTTTTTAAGGCAGTGTATGCCGAATGCCTAGCCTGTTTGTTTTTGTATAAATTGTTTTTAACGTTCCACAAACATTCGTGAACAACATATGATAGTTGTATCTTCCGACCATTTAGCCATCTTTAAAAATCAAAAAACACGCACGCGTTTCACGGCACTTGTGCACTCTCCTAAAGATTTTACTAAAGTACATTTTTACACACAACGAGGGAAGATCTGAGTGCACAGATTAGTGCTGAGTGATGCGCCGGGGGTTGCGCGGGCGCGGGAGGGGTATCACTTGAAACAAAAGTAAAAAGCGACTCTATTTTGATTCAACTTGAAAGTCAAGTAGAACCGTACTAAAGCAAGTAGCGTTTACATGTTTACAAATTCATTTATTCCTTAGTGTATCAGTTATTTAGTAATAGTGTAACTTCGGAATGACTTTTGAAGTCATATTCACACAATTCGAGAGGACAGTTCACAGCTATTAACAAAGTTATCACCAAAATTCTATATAAGGACCAAAATGATTATGTTGGTTTAGTGTCAAAAGAAAATTATAAAATCTAGTCCCGATAAGTGGTGCTGCGGTAGAGTAATAAAAAATGTGGTCGAGTTATTAAAAAATACTATTAAAATTATTTAATTAAGTAATTTACACTAAAAAGTTCAAAGTGAATTTGGGGCGGAACTCACTGCGACATCTACCGGAAATGGCAGAACAATGTATGCCGGCCGTTTTAATTTTATCAATGGCGTTTAAATTTTGTTAAAATATTTCTTTTGTTTTAAATATGATGTTGAGACATATTCCATAATATTAAAAAAATTGTCGAATATTATATGTAGGTAGGTATATCGCACCTTCATTTCGAAACCGTTCCTAAATACGTTAGTACTCTTATTAGTTTGTGGTTCCTAAACAAAAAAACTAAATTTTACAGGAGAGCTAATTTACGATTTTTGCATGACTATTTACCTCTTAATAAATAAGTAATGAACACTTAAGAAATATTTCTGACATTATTTGTTAAATTAATTTTTTCTTGTTAATGCGTGTAGTCATATAATTTAATATTTTCTATAATTATTTTTTTATAGTCATTTTAATTTTTAAAGTAACACTTTTGCGTTAATTATTTTTTCAATAAGGACTCAATTATGTAAAGTTAGTATAAAAACAATGTTACTATATTAAAAATATAATTCTAGCTATTATACGGACTGTTAAAATATATTTCGAAGGTATTATAGTACAGGTCAATTAAAACATAATAATTCAAATCAATATTTATTTAAAAGAAACGTAAAATATTACTTTTATGACAATAATATTAAACCAAAAATGTTATCTCTTACAATAATCAATTAATCAACTGCAACAATCAGCATCTTGAACTAGTAAATTATAATAATTATTATAGTTCAAGTTCAATAATTAAACTATTCCAAAATGTTATTATAATACGAAATCGCGTAGTACTGTGGTATTATGTTACTTTGAATCAAACTCTTTAAGTCATTCTTTTTTCGTTCTGATAATTTTAGTCTAGACTGGTACAATGGTTTCAATTGGATGTCTTTAAGGGTAACATTTCTACGTAAGCTTGGTGAACGACTATTAGTTTTCAATTTTACTAACTCAATTTCTTTTGAATTCTGTCTGAGAGAATGAAGTTTTATAATAAACACAGACGTTGTCAAAATCTACCTTTTCAAATTTAATTACTTTTATATCGCTTAATCTGTTTCCCCTAGGGTATTCTTGGAGAAACGTACACCACATTCTTCTGACAAGCTCTTAATATCGATAAAATCAGAGTAACACATTTGATTAACTTACCTATAAGGGTTGGCCTTTTTTCGCGCAGATTTTATGACATTAATGTAGTCATCAGGTACGTACATAGGACCTGAATGTAAACGTTTTTTTTACAGCTTTTTCGATGACTGAATGAACTGAATCATTTTCGTTCTGCATTTGCCCTCTAATTAGAAACTTATGCGTGATAGACTTAATTTTATAAGCTGATTTTGTTTTATAGAATAGGGTGACAAACGAGCACACAGTCCACCTGATGGTAAGTGGTTGCTGCGGCCCATAGACATCTACATCTATCTTCCATTACAAATCGAAATGCAGATGCGTTGTCATCCGTGAGGACTGAGATGGAATGCCTCATTTCCAGTAAAAAGGGTCTCCGGTTCTCTACACTCACCATACGAAATACAGCAGCATTAAGCTACTATTTGACGCTGGTATTCTGTGAGAGCGTGGTCCTTCCCCGGTCGAGCCAACCCATTCGTGCTACAACTATACTACTAACTGCAGCATGGCTCTACCACGTAAGAAAGAAAGAAAGAAAGCTGATACGGCATACATATACATCGCAAACATAAATTGATTCTTTTGCTGGCCGCAACAATTGTCCGAGTAAAATGTGACTTGTAACTCATCATTATTAATTTCAGATACTCGTTTTGTTAAATATTTTAACACGCATGTTGCGATTTCATTGGCTCCCCTCAACGCATCCACTTCACTCCAAACAAAACAATCACAATAATCGTTGGCTAATTCACTTATGGTAAAATCAAAAACATTAAGTTTACACTTATAATATAAAGTTGATACCTCACCCTTGCAGCACAGCTTGCAGATCATAACAAGCAACAATATGGTTGGCATTTATCAAAGCCTTGTCATTTGCCTTTTCTTTACGGCTCAGTTCTATTTCAATTTGGTGTTGTTCATACTTTGCTTGTAATTCTGTATTATGGTCTACGTCATTTTTAGGGTTCCGTAGTCAACTAGGAACCCTTATAGTTTCGCCATGTCTGTCTGTCCGTCTGTCCGTCCTCGCTTAATCTCTGTGACTGTTAGCACTAGAAAGCTGAAATTTGGTACTAATATGTGTATCAATCACGCCGACAAAGTGGTAAAATAAAAATTGGAAATTTTTTTTTTATTAGCCCCCCTATATGTAAAGTGGGAAGTGATTTTTTTTTTAATTTCAACCCTAACGTGTGATATATTGTTGGAAAGGTATTTAAAAATGAATACGGGTTTACTAAAATCATTTTTTGATAATGTCAATAATTTCGGAAATAATCGCTCCAAAAGTAAAAAACAATGTGCCCCCCCTCCTCTAACTTTTGAACCATAAGTTAAAAAAATATGAAAAAAATCTGAAAAGTAGAACTTTATAAGAACTTTCTAGGAAAATCATTTTGAACTTGGATGGAAACAACAGTACTTACTACCGGGAGCAGTTACAGGAGCGCGGAGCGCTGCTGGAGCGCGAACATAATGGATACCTTTAAACTCATAAGTGGGAACACTTATTGTGACGGACGGGAAACTACGGAACCCTACACTGAGCGTGGCCCGTCGACGCTCTTGGCGGCCGGTTTTATTGTAAGATGTGTATAATTCACATTGATCTTTCTTAGGTTTAAAAAAAACTAATATTATAATGTTCATTAAAAATTTGTCTATAAATGTGAACTTTAGCAGCTTCTTTACCATTATTAATGCATTCTGTTTAGTAGTGTTTATATAAATCCGTCAGATTTTTTTCCACCCTCTATATATTCGCGTGTCGTTTGTTGTCTCAAGTAATGCGACTCTATTCTAGGTATACATAAAAATATATATATATATATATATATGCCTTTTAATACCTTGTTTAATATTGCAATCAATTTCATTATACTTGCCATGTTTGCCTCTTTTTTCTTTTTCGACAATACCCGATTTATTCTTTTTTGCAATGACAGTTGCTATTGGTCTATTATTTATAGCTAAAGTACTTTTAAAAAATAACTTACAGACACGAATTTTAACATTATTAACTTCGAAGCAAAAAGAATGTTTAGGCCCTCTATTGCTACTATGCACTTTATACTGATATCTGGGAGTAATCACTGAAATACACTTTGCTAAGAAATCCCGCTGTCTCGTCAAATCACCAAGTTTCCAATACTCTTCAAATAAAAACTCTCTTTCCTGTTGCGTAATTTTCTCAGTGCACTTTAATCTGCATTTATCCGCACACGGAGTTCCTATCTCTCTTTTAGAAATAATCTTTTTTGACTTGGATAATGAAGTGTATTGTTGTCCACTGTTACGAAGCATTTTAGCTTCCTTAATTTTAGAAATGTTTCTTTTGCGTTTACGTGTGCAAGATGTATTTACACTTGGCTGCTGGATTGGATCATTCTTGCACTACCTCGTGAATTCTTGGTTGCTGAACTGAATCAACTTCTTGCACTACCTCGTGAATCCTTGCCTGCTGAATTGAATCAATTTCTTGCACTACCTCGTGACTCAAAGCTTCGATATGTACTTGCTGCATACCATTATCATGTTGAAGAGAAAAGCTAGATGAAGATGTTGAAACACGTCGTGTAAGCGCAACTGATTCTACGCAGTCAGTCAGTTATCTGCTTCATCAGTGGAAAAGGCCTTACCTGAGCGAAAAAAGAAAGCAAAAATATTTACAACACAGTCAAGCACACAACAAAAATAAATTAGGTATATCTTTAGGTACCTACCTGAAGATGTACTAGATGATGACGATGAAGATGTGCTAGTTGACGAAGATGTACCAGAGCTGGAAGAATCAGACCTTGGTCTGTTACTAGGTAGACAATTTTCTGTCGCTATATCAAACAAACCAGTACCACTCATAGATGTCCCCCGGCATCATCTCATTTTCTGGATGTACATTATTAACACCCACTAATTCTTTATGAGATTTTATTAAAGGTGCGGCTGCAGTAGATGATCTCAGTTCTTCATCTAGGCAAAGATTTTCATCCCGTGATGAAGCTTCTTCGGCTTGCATTGCAGCCACAATAGTCACATAAGTTTTATGCGTGGATTTCTTAGATATGACATTATCTGAAGCAAAAAATATAATAAGCGTTACCTTTTAAGAATGTCTTATTATTATTCTAATAAATATTATATAATACAATAATATTGTTATCTTCCTAATAAAACTCTAGAGACAAAGAAAAAAGATAACGCACAGCCACAGCGATACGGTTAAAACGAAAACTGCATCTAACCTATAAGTCACACTTTTGTAATAATCAAAACACTACAATTTGTTTACTCATAAACTCTACTAAGCAAATAATCACTATTTTATGCTAAATATTAATGTCATAATTTTATCCAGAATGTAAGGTAAACAGATTATCCAAAAAGTAACAGTTTATCGTACAAAATTTGAAGAATCAAAGTACTTATGCACTCTAAGTTAAAAACTGTGACTAAACCAAAAACCACACTTTATCAAATAAAAATAAGTAAATAATTTACCTTAATGACAAAATCAGCCGAGTTAAACAAATAGCAAAGACATTTAAATAGGTAGTAGTAATAGACCGGACATCAGTAAGAAAATTGTCGTCTGTAACTTTTGTCCTATAGGATATATCTCCGATTTTTGTCATTTAGCTAGCCCGTCGATTTATTCTGTGAGTCTAAATGACATCGTCAAAAGGTCAAGACGCATTCATTTTATAAATTTAAAAATATTTTTAAAGAAAAATGCCTGGTTGTGCATAAAAGTATTGTAAATCACGATATGGAGTAAAAAATGAACGTTATTTCGGTTTATTATCGTAAGAATAATGTGTACTTACTAAATAATCTGTAAATTTTATTATTTCTAGTAGATTGTTCGAGAAGAAAGAAAAATTATTGTAATAAGAGCCCTCTGTTATCCAGTAACGTCACTATTTATTTACAGATTTTAACTTAACTAACTACTTATGTTTAGTAGTGTCACCTACTGGGAAATAGCTAAAACGTTTTCTAAATAAATATTCAGTGTAGTATTGCTATATTTCGCTAGAGGATGTAATACAGCTTTTGTATGAAAATATTCCCAATGTCCGCTCTATAGTGTAAATATATATTTAAATCTCTTTGACAAGTAGTTACACTGTTTTATAAAACTGTACCTATGTCAACTTCTTAAGTGACAGGTGACAACTGGTGTAGTAACGGTTTCGTCTGTATTTATGTTTTAAATTTCAGTTTAATAGCGTTTTAATTTAACGCCATCTACCAAAATATTGGGAAACTAAATAGACCTGTCAAATTAATTCTGTAGAGTTTGCTGTTATCCATTATCCATCATCTTATTTGATGGCGTTATTATCTCAATTTCATGAAAATTTCGATTAGTAACGGTTTCGAAATGAAGGTGCGATGATGTTATTTTCAGATCGTTTAAACTTTAAAGCCTTATGTTTAACATTGACGGAGATATAAAATCGTTTACATTATTGAATTTTTAAATCTTACAACAGGTTATATTATTGGTTATCCTACCATAATGTAATGGTAAATTCCATTAAGTAAAAATAGTTTATGAATATGTGAGCATTTTAAATATATTTTAAATCAAATTTATGTAACATCTTATACAACTGTACAAGAATAAAAACCTAAACTTTAATATATGAGTTTGTTTCGATTTTCTGTTCACATCCTTGTTTTTCATCATTGATTTATATGTTACACTAGATAAGTAATTTCCGCGCCAAAGCGTTGTCACTTCACATAAGGCCACAGCCTTATACTCAGCGAACGTCGGTTCAGTGTTCAAGGTGACGCCGTCCGAGTTAAGTCGAACGATTCACAACAAAAAATGGGTAAATGCGTAGTGAAAGAATGCGTTTCAAGGTCACAAAAACATAATAAATCAAGCGGAATCACTTTCCATACGTAAGTTTTAATTTATATATTCATATTAACGTTTAAAACACTAAAAAATTAAATAAAATATCGAATATTGCAATTTAGGTTCAATGTTGCCACTTTTCCGCCTTTGTGATTTTTCCACATTAATGGGAGACTGTATAATTTATGGAATAAGTTAATTTTGTTTTAAAATAAACAAGTAAAATTGATTGCTTAAAAAAAGGTCTGCGGGTTGTAGACCTTTTCATAGTCGTAACTGCGTGTACTATCAATATCCACTACCCTATATCATCCCTTGGGTGTCGTAAGAGGCGACAGAGGGAAGGAAAACAAATCAGTCGATGGGCAGCAGCGTCGTCCAATAACGACTAAAAACAAAAAAGGTGCGTTTGCCAACCCGCTTGCCATTATGCCCTATACATGCCATATGCGGCCATCTATGGGGGAGGTCTATGTTCAGCAGTGAACTTTAAGGCTGTAACGGTAACGGTAAGGGTGGTAAACTCTGCTACCGTCGTCTTCTGTTTTACACAAGGCTAATACGCAGGGTTCTGTAAATTACCTACGCAATAATCGCATATACTTTGGACTGATCTACTCAAGTAGTAGTAAATAGTTCCATATTATACCTACTTTTTCTAGAACGCAATGCGAATTAATTGCGTAGATATGTCTGTAGGTATGTCTCCACGCTAAATCGAATGTCTGAAATTATTTCGAAACATGTGAAGTTTGCCGTCCTCCCATCCCCGTGAATTCCCAGAGTGGGACGTATATAGGCTGAATTTACTTTACTTTTTATGTCTGTATGTATAGGTATGGTTGGCATAATGGTTATTCAATATATCCACAATCCAAAATTTATATATTATAGGATCTATTAGTGTGGCGTCATTTAGGTGTCTTATAATCAATGAGCATTTATTTTTACAATTTCACGAAAAAATCTTTTTCGTTTTTCATTAAAAAAAATTAGCTAAGATCACACCTGGCACTATACTACTGGAGTCTGCGTTAGCGCAAGCACCTGACCAGACGTAGTTTAGGCTACGAGTCATGAAACTGCGCAGAAGCGATAAACAGGTGTCAGTACGGTGCGGTATGAGGTACGGGGAAGCGAAACCATAACAACGGGCGACGCGCTATCCCCATTGTCTCCCTGCGTCCCGTCGCCCGCGCACATACGTGTGTCATCTTGCGTACTATCAATATCAAAAGTGTTAGCGACTTCCTGTAATACAATATTGAAATTTTTACGATTATTTTTGGACTTTTAAAATATTGTTATATAATATTTGCAAATAGACTTTATGAGATTTGTAAAAATTTGTAAGCTCTATTGAAAGATGACTGAATCATGTAAGGAAAAAGAGAGGTTCAACTAGTCCCGGAAAAAAACACATGTTTCTTCATGCATTTACGTATATATTTTAAATGAAATAAAAATAAACAATAATATCATTAAACACCGTATTTAATAAGCTTTCTAACAATATTACACTTCTTTATACATTAACTTCAAAAAAGTTATTAACAATAAAATCTATATATACCTATGTCTTATCACGCGCTTGCGCTAACGCAGACTCCAGTAGTATAGTGCCAGGTGTGGTCTTAGCTATTTTTTAATGAAAAACGAAAAAGATCTTTTTTTGTGAAATTGTAAAAATAAATGCTCATTGATTATAAGACTTGCCGTGTAGTGGCGGTTAACAATATCCACTACCCCATATCTTTCCGTAGATGTCGTAAAAGGCGACAGAGGGAGTCAGGCAGGAGATGGGCAGCAGCATTTTGATGATAGCAGCAACCGCACAAAAAAAACTGCGGTTGCCAACCCGCTCTGGCAATATACCCCCCATGTTAGTTACGGCCCTCAGGCCCCGGCGGCCCTGTAAATAAGGTATAGTTAATAAAATACTACATAAGGTTCACAATGAGCCACGTGCGACTAATCAATCTTTCCATTTTATCTATCGAAAAGACAAAATATAAAATTTTAATAATGTAATAAATATTTTAGCAAATTTAAAGCCAGTAAGCATATTTTGCATTTTTTGTTTTATTTTGGGAGTGTTGATAAAAAACCCTACGGGGTGCCAACCCACGCTACGCCGCCACTATGTCCCGTGGTAGTTTCCTTGCTTTATTACAAAAAATATATATTTCCTCTAAAGCTCATAACCTGTTCTACGTACTTAAAATTGGCTTTCTTAGCCATTGATATATTTAAAATAATTTTTTAAATAGATACTTCACTGAGATAAACACTTTGAGATGCAGTTAGTTCTAAGTTAAATATCTTTACTTTTATTTTAACAATGTCAAATTTATAATATAAATCCTACAATTTCCACAAATTAAGTCTAGAAAGCAAACCTGGTAAACCTGGTAACCCTACCTATCACATAAACTGAAGCACATTTAATAGAATTTCTGACCGATACACAGGAATTTGCTTTATTCGATGTACTCCGTCTTGTATTACTTTAGATCCCACATATTAAACTGTCTATATTAGGCTGTGTTCTACTTTACAAAGGAAATTAAATTCCCTGCTATTTGTCAAGCGTATAATTTCTAGTAGGTCGGATAATTTATTTATTTAACCGTGTAAGAAAATTAAGCAATGTACTGTAATTAAATTAGTTATTTGTTAAAAAAATTAAAGGGTAAATAAATTTTATTTTACAAGAATTTAAATAAAATTTGCGAAATTTGTTCCGCTAACAGCTAAACTTTTTTTTAAATATGAGCAGCAGTCGTTTTTGGCCAAAGATTTAAAATACCTACATATTTCGTAATACTTGTTGACTTGTTGTTAATTAATAAATCAAGTTTGTTTCGAGTTTTGAGCGACCGTTACAGTAATTAGTAATTACTGATTACATACATACGTATGAACATAGATTTCGTATTAGCTGACGTTAGAATTATGATGTCAGCGTCAAATAAAAATGGAGGATATCAATTGTTATGTTAAATACTTATAATCCAAAAAATTTTAAAAAGCAAATGTATTTTATATGGTATTTTATATTTTAATTATATTAATTGTTAACAATAGATTGTTGCAGTCGGGTATAATTTAAGATAGATCTTTCACGACACGACAAGTTGTTCTGAAATAATGGGGAAATAAATGTTTATTATGCTTAAAACAAAAGCTAATAATACTAAAAACAGTTCTAGTATTTTCCATATTGTAGTCTTTAGTAATCCTAGAAGCTAAAGTATAAACGTTGCAGATTACTTCTCTTCTTTCTGAAACGTAAAACGGCAGTGCTCTTTTAAAAAAAATATTCCTTTAGTTTATAAACAAGTACAATCTTTGATATTTTATGACAAGAATTACTTATAAAAGAGATGGCAACTAAACATATTTATATAACAAAGTTTGATTTTCCAAGCACTTTACAGTTTACACTTTTCAAATAGGTCTTGTATATTTTTTTATAGAATAAGGATAACAAACGAGCACACAGTTCAGCTAATGATAAGTGAATGTTGCTGCCATAGACATCGTTTTACCTTGAGGAAATCTTCAAGGATATCTTCTGCCGCGGGAGCAACTGAAAGGTAATGCTGGATTCCTACGAGTAGTACCGGAAATACGATACCAGTGTACATGGAGATCACCGTATAACTTGTGATTTTAACAGTATTTACAAAATGAGCATCACTCTTTTTTAAACTTTTTTTTATAGATTAAGAGTGACACACGAGCAAGAAGAACATAGACATCTACATTTATCCTCGATTGAGAGCTAAAATGCCAATGTGTTTTCACCCATGAGGACCAAGATCGAATGCTTCATTTCTAGTAAAAAGTGTCTTTGGTTCTCTACACTCACCATACGAAACACAGTAGTATTAAGCCGTTATTTTACGCCGTTATTCTGTGAGAGCGTGGTCTTTCCCCAGTCGAGCCGAACCCCCAGAAACAAAAATTCTCAGTAGTGAATGGTAGGGGTTCTTGAGGATAATGACGAAAGGCTTGAAGTTGTAGTTTCCGAAGGTTGTTGGTTGCGTGTCTGGAATCCGCGCAGGCGAAATAACCGGTTGTGTCAGACCACATACCAAGGCAAACTAATAAACAGATCTCCCCGCATGATCAATTAAACGTGAACTGAGCCATTCGGCGCGGTGGGTGTTAAAACCGCCAAGTATCACGATCTCTGCGGGTAGAATTTGTTGTAGCAAGGAATCTGTAAACCTTTCGACGTAGTTAATTAGTCATATCCACGCATACCTATTCTGACATAGCTCTCAAGTTCTGAAAAACTAATAATCAGTATTTGTCGGAGGAAGTAGAACTATTGCACTCGAAACTGCATAATCCTCTAGTGCGTTTGACTAGTGATAGAGAGGCTACTATATATATCAAATATTTAGCCCCAAACGTCGAAGTTCCTACCCAAATT